AGGAGTTGGAGGTTGCTGTGAGCTGTAATGCCACAGCACTCTACCCAGGGGTACAGCTTGAGGCTCTGTCTCAAAAAAAAGAAAAAAAAGAAGTGCGGAGGTTGATGATGAGGATATTTGGGGAAATGACTGGGCCCTGAGTGTGCCTAGCTTGTCTGTGGATCCAGGTGTGGCTGGATCATGCTGTAACGACGGGCTTTTATACAGCCACTCAGGACCCTGCATATTACATACCTTGGTTCTTTAATCCTACCAGAAATAAATACTACTAGTTTGTGCTAAAATTCACATATATATTTAACACACTCAACATCATTTTTTTTTTTTTTTAGAGACAGAGTCTCACTTTATTGTCCTTGGCAGAGTGCCATGATGTCACAGCTCACAACAACCTACAAGTCCTGGGCTTAGGTGATTCTCTTGCCTCAGTCTCCGGAGTAGCTGGGACTATAGGGGTCCACCACAATGCCTGGCTACAACATCATTTCAATAATCTGCTTTAAATATAAATGCCAAAGGCAAATGAGAAAGTTATCACTACATATAGATAATTCCTTAGACAATTATATTCTGACTTACCTGTAAACGCTTATCCAAAAATGCCATTCCTCCTTGTAGTCCATAGTTGTATTCATAAGGGAAACTCCAATCTCGAACTAAAAACATCAGTGTCTATTTAGGAAAAGAAAAGAACATACTTTAACAAGGCATAAACATTTTCAAGATAACAATTGCAATTCTTCTTTACATAATGCCAGCTGCAGCAAAGGAAGCAAAGAAATGTACTAAAGGATTTATCTACTCTGTACTGTCTTAAACTTTACAAATACTAGAAAGACATGTTTAAGCCAAATGTGAGGCCAATATACCCCATCTGCTATTTTTATTCCCACAGGTTAATAGGAACAGAAGGAATAAATTGATGAAAAAAAGTTAAATTAAGGCACTGCCCTAAAGGCAAGTATGGGAAATGTAGTAAAGAAAAAAAGAGAGAACTACATGGTACCAGCTAATCATAAAATCAGATCTGCTTTTACTATTGGAAAGCAGATTAAATAAGGCTCACATACTAAAAGCACTTCTCATATCTCATTGACGTTGCTGTGCTTTCCTATCTTCAAAAAACAATTAGCTAAAGCAAAAATCAGCAAAAGTTTTCTGTGAAGGGCCAGAGAGTAAATATCCTAAGCAACTATCAACTCTCCTGCTGCATTGGGAAAGCAGCCACAGAAAACACACAGACAAGCTTTGCTGTTCCACTAAAACGTTAATGATGGACGTTGACATCTGGATTTCAGATAATTTACACATATTATGAAACATTCCTCTTTTCAATTTTTTTCAACCATTTAAAAATGTAAAAACCACTCTTAGCTCACGTGTCACATTATCTGGCCTTTGAGCTGCAGTGTGCTGATGTGTGAACTCAAACAAAGATATGAATTATATCCATAGCTAATACTCTACCTGGAAGGGTTTTTGGAAAATTTCATCCATTGCCAGACGACCATATTCTGTGAAGAGCTTTAAAAAAAGAAAAGTTACGGTTTGAAAGGCAAAATTACTTAAGTCATATGGCTATTCTTTAGCAAAGTATTTAACAGACTTATATTGAGACAAAAGTTCTATAATTTCAAAAGCCCATAGGAGTCATGAAATAATCTTGGCCGCTCCTCTCTCGTATCTCACACCTCAATTCATCAGCAAATCCAACGTCCGACTGCTCATTATTTCCATGTGGGTGAATACTGCAACAGTCTCCTCACTGGTCTCCCTGCCTTCAGCCCTTGCCTCCCTACAGGCCATTCTCAATACAGCAGCCAAAGCGGCTCTGTTGTAAACAAGGTTGGCTGTATAAAAGCCAGTCCTTACAGCATGATCCAGCCACACCTGGATCCACAGACAAGCTGGGCACACTCAGGGCCTTTGTACTGAGTCCTTCCGTTCCCTATAAAGTCCCTTCCCCCAAATATCCTCATGATCAGCCCCCACACTTCCTAAGGTCTTTACTCAAATGGCTCTTTCTCAATGAAGCCTTTTATGGCCATCTGCCTAAAAAGATTACAACTTTCCACATGTTATTTCCTTCCCAGGTCTTCCTTATTTTTCTCTTTAACACTTACCACCACCTAATACACTCTACCTCTACTTGTCTGGGGGAGTGCCTGCCTTCACCACTAGCATTTAAACTCTATGCATTTTCTGTTTTGTGCACTGTGGTGTGTCCAGGAGCAAGAAAAGCACTGGGCCCAAAATATTTGTGCCATTCAAATGACTAAGTGAATGAATGAATTCTGTAAGGTTAGGCTTTACATGTATATTTACCTCTGTTTCTTCATGAAGCTTCACTAAAAACATAGCAAAACAAAAAGAAATAAATTCACTTAGCCAGGCAGTGGTGCATGCCTGTGGTCTTAGCTATTGAGAGGTTAAGTCAGCAAGATCACTTGAGCCCACAAGTTCAAGACCAGCCTGGGAAACGTAGTAACTCCCTACCTTGATTGTAAAAAATAAAATTAAATAGGATCAGTGCCTGAAGCTCAAGTGGCTAAGGCACCAGCCACATATCCCAAGGCTGGTGGGTTCAAGCCCAGAACAGGGCCTGCTAAACAATGACAACCACAATCAAAAAATAGCTGGGTGTTGTGACAGGAGCCTGTAGTCCCAGCTACTTGGGAGGCTGAGGCAAGAGAATCGCTTAAGCCCAAGAATTTGAGGCTGCCGTGAGCTATGATGCCACAGTACTCTACTGAGGGTTACACAGTGAGACTCTGTCTCACAAAGAAATATTTTAGGCTCAGTGCCTATAGCTCAACCGGCTAAGGCGCCAGCCACGTACACCTAAGATGGCGGGTTCAAATCCCCAGCCCGGACCCGCCAAACAACAACGATGGCTGCAACCAAAAAAAAGACAGGCGTTGTGGCGGGCGGCCGGGGGCGCCGGCTACTTGGGAGGCGGAGGCAGGAGACTCGCTTGAGCCCAGGAATTGGAGGTTGCTGTGAGCTGTAATGCCACGGCACTCTACCCAGGGGGACAGTTTGAGGCTCTGTCTCAAAAAAAAAAAAAAGAAATATTTTAAAAAATTAAATTAAATAAATAAATTCACAGGACAAAGAAGATAGAAAAAAACATGATAGCAGAAAAGAGCTGCTAAAAACTCTGGTGGAGGCTTAAGGCCTAGCTCAAGCAGCTAAGGCACCAGCCACATACACCAGAGGTGGCGGGTTCAAATCCAGTCAGGGCCTGCCAAACAACAATGACAACTACAACCCAAAAATAGCCAGACGTTGTGGCGGGTGCCTATAGGCCCAGTTACTTGGGAGGGTGAGGCAAGAGACTCCCTTAAGCCCAAGAGCTGGAGGTTGCTATGAGCTGTGATGCCATGGCACTCTGCCCAGGGCAACAGCTTGAGGCTCTGTCTCCAAAAAAAAAAAAAAAAATTTATAAAAAAATAAAACCTCTGGGGGAAACAGACATATAAGAACCATCTCACATTTTGGCTTTTTCTATCCTACCAACAAATCTGGGAGAAGCAGGGGCAAATATGCAGATTCTCTCAGCATAATCTCTGAAAGGCTCAAAATTATAAGCATGGAGCTACCTTGCAGGAGGGGGTGAGAGTGGGGCTAACAATGAAAGAAATGTGCATAGCTCTTTGGAGACAGCCTCCATATTCTTCCTGTCCCCACAGACGATGGGGAGTACCACCATCTGGAGAGGATAAACCCCAAAACTAAAACCCTCACTCAGGTACCAAACTCAGCCGAAGTTCAGAGTGAGTCCTCTATCTTAGTGGAAACAGACACTTAAGTCAAAGCTACACATTAAACAGTGGACTCCTTAGGCCTCACACTCTATTGTAGCCACAGCAAGGCAGGAGTTTAAAGAATTTAATTTTCTCTGGGTAAACTGGAGGCCCAAGAATAAAGGTCTGTACTTATAAACATTTAGGAGTTGGCAACAAAATAGCTAGTCTTGCCTAATCTCCTAGCTGTGACATAGACCAGTAGGCACCTCTGGCCCTCTTGTCAATGCTCCCAGCAGGTATTTAGTGCCTGGCTCTTCTATACAGTCAAGGACCACTAGACATGTGAGGAAGCCTCTAGCACAGCGGTTCTCAGCCTGTGGGTTGCCACCCCTTTCACAGGAGTCACCTAAATACATCCTACATATGAGATATTTATATTACGATTCATAACAGTAGCAAAATTACAGTTATGAAGTAGCAATGAAAATAATTTTATGGTTGGGGGTCACCACAACATGAGGAACTGTATTAAAGGGTCACAGCATTAGGAAGGTTGAAAACCACTGCTCTAGCAGAAAACAAAAACTCTTGTCCTGAAATTCTAGATCATCTTTTTTTTTTTTTTTGGCAAGGGCTGGGTTTGAATCCACCACCTCTGGCATATAGGGCCGGTGCCCTACCCTTTTGAGCCACAGGTGCCGTCCCAGTCATCTTATTTTTAATATAAATTTTATAATTTCTTTTCCTCTGTTTTCTCTCCTCTCTTTTCCTAAAACACCTATTATTAAAACAGGTTCAGCACCTGTAGCTCAAGCAGCTAAGGCACCAGCCATATACATCAGAGCTGGCAGGTTCAAATCTAGCCAAGGCCTGCCAAACAACAATGACAACTACAGCCAAAAAATAGCCAGGCGTTGTGGAGGGCGCCTGTAGTCCCAGCTACTCAGGAGGCTGAGGCAAGAGAATCACTTAAGCCCAGGAGTTGGAGGTTGCTGTGAGCTGTGATACTACAACACTCTACCCAGCTTGAGGCTGTCTCAAAAAAAAAAAAAAAAAAGTTAAACCTCTCCTGAATTGACCCTTTTTCCATTTGTTAGGTGCCCTCCCTCATTTCTATGTTTCAACACCCTTTCTCCCCTCCCAATTCTCCCTCTCATCTGTCTTCTCTCTCCTTCATTCTCTCTCTCCCTTCTAGTTTCTATCTTCTGTATCTTTATTCAACCTACTAGGCAAATTTCCTCCAATTTAAATTCTAACTCATCCTCTACTGAATTTTCCATTTTGCTGTTAGGAGCTCTTTTCCTCCCCCTTTTCTTTGTTTTTGTTTAACATGCTAGTCAAATTTAGCAGAGGAGGCTTGTATACAAATTTTAGTGACACTAATATTAAAAGTTCTGTTAAGCCACTATCATCAGACCAGCCCTACTTTGTTTCCTGAACGCTGCTTTAACAGCATCCTGTTGTTATTTCCTCATTGCAGCACGGTAACATTTCATTTTTTTCTCTCTCTTTTTTTTTTTTGAGACAGTCTTACTTTGTTGCCCTCCACAAAGTGCTGAGGCGTCACAGCTCACAGCAACTTCAAACTCTTGGGCACAAGGGATCATCCTCTTGCCTCAGCCTCGCAAATAGCTGGGATTTCAGGTGCCCACTACAACATCTGGCTATTTTTTAAGAGACGGTTGATCTCAGGCTGGTCTCGAACTCTTGAGGTCAGGCACCTCGCCCAGACTAACATTTTATCTTTCTAAAGATATGAGTTCACAAAGAATGAAGAAAAAACCTACACTAAGGCACATTACCATGAAAATTCATGCCAAGAATAAGATCTTAGAAGCTTCAGCTAGAAACAAAAAGGTCACATACAAAGATCAGGAGTCAGATAGTGTGGGACAGCAACCCTGGAAGCTAAAGGGCATTGAATTCCACTCTGTAACTCCAGGATGAAATTAAAATATAGGTTCGGCACCTGTGGCTCAAGCGGTTAAGACGCCAACCACATACACCTAAGCTAGCAGGGTTGAATCCAGCCTAGGCCTGCCAAACAATGACAGCTGCACCAAAAATAGCCGGGCGTTGTGGCAGGTGCCTGTAGTCCCAGCTACTTGGGATGCTGAGGCAGGAGAATCACTTGAGCCTAGGAGTTAGAGGTTGCTGTGAGCTGTGATGCCAAGGCACTCTACCCAGGGTGAAAGCTTGAGGCTCTGTCTCAAAAAAAAAGAAGAAAGAAAAAAAGAAATTAAAATATACTCAGACTTCCAAGATGCCAATAAAAGTTATCTCCTATGCATCTTTTTTCAGGAAGCTACTGGAGAATGAGTAGAAGTACAGAGTGAATACACAAATTATTACATAATCTGAGGTAAAAACTGAAAAGAAACTGCCAGGATGGTGGCAAAGGCCATTAGATGACCAGGCCCAGAGTAGGCAGTCTAGACAGAAGAACACAATACCTAAGAGTGAAGCCTCTGCAAGGAAAAATAAAATAGAACTCGCAAGTCTCAATACTTCAGACCATAGAAAGAAGTTTTAGGAGTCTATCAGAGTTTATGAAGGCATTAGTGATCAGTACATAGAAAACCAAAGTCCAAGTACACTGCTTGCACATGTAATCCTAACAATTTAAGAGGCCAAGGCAAGGACTACTTGAGGACAGTTTAAGACAAGATTGAGCAGCTCAGCGCCTGTGGCTCAAGTGGCTAAGGCGCCAGCCACATACACCTAAGGTGGGTTCGAATCCAGCCTGGGCCCGCCAAACAACAATGATGGCTGCAACCGAAAAAAAATAGCCGGGTGTTGTGGCGGTCCCAGCAACTTGGG